TTCTTGCAGAAGACCCAGGTTTGAATCCCAGCACCCACATGGCAGCTAACAACTGTCTGTGTAACTCCATCCCGGGGATCCAACTGCCTCTTCTGTCCTCCGAGGGCATTGCATGACACAGGTGCACTTACCTACATGCAGGCAATACACATTAAAAAAAAATAAAAATAATAAAATATTTTAAAAAAAGAAATGACAAAAGGAAAGTTAGGGAGACGTTGTGTGTAACATTTTATCTTAATAACTAGTGATTGAATGTTCTGAGTTAGAAAAAGCCTGTGAGGTGGGTTAGGGGAGACAATCTGATACTTGTCTGTATTAAGGAGACTTGTAATGAAGTTTAGAACCAGCTAACCAGAGCCGTAGAATGCTGGGCATGTAGTGTAGTTGGGGGACTCCTTATTGTTCTGTTATATCATATCCAGTGGAAACCTGTTAGACCAGAGCCTTTCACATTCACTCCTATTTTGAGGCACCTTTGTGGTACCTTTCTTAGGGGTAGAAATGCATTTTGAACAATCGGCTTGTTGGCACTTCCCAGATCTTAACTGCCCTTTGGTCTCTTTCCTCTGAATAGGTCACTGCAAATGACCTTCAGGAGAACATCACAAAGTTAAACAATGGGATGGCTTTTATGATCAAACACTCCCAGAAACTTTTCAAGGTAGGTATAGGATGGTGTTTGATTGGTAATAGGACAAGGAAGATGCAGACAGAGTGGAATCGTAGATGAGAGATGCCATGTGGGATTATACATCTGAATGAATGGTGGCATGCCCTCCCTTGTGGGAAGGGCTAGAAACGGGTTGGGGGGTGGGTAATGGGTCTAAGTCCTCTGGCTAACTGGCTCCACCTTCTCAGTCATCTGGCCTTTTTTATGGAAGGAAGCAAGTGCTGGCAGCTGTCTAGTTTTACCTTGCCTGACTGCCTGCCCAACTTTGAGGGCTTGACAGCCTCCTTTCATTTTATGCTCTTTGTCTCTTCATCCCAAGCAGGCAGTGTTTCTGGGAATAATTTTTTCAATAACTTTTTGTTTGTTTGTTTTTGAGACAGAGTCTCACTATGTAGCTCTGGCCTAGAACTCAGTATATAGACCAGGCTGGCCTTGAACTCACAGAGATTTGCCTGCCTTTGCTCCTAAGTGTTGGGATTAAGGTATGTGTTACCATGCCCAGCTCAGGATTTTTGAGGTCTTTTGTAAATTTTAGAGGGCTTCATTCCATTTCATAAAAGCTACATATATTATCTTTGGATGCTAAATCCTCTATCTTGGTCTCCTGCTGAACAGGCAGGGCAAGGTCTAAGCTTCTAATGACCCTTTGCCTCAATTGAGAGGATTCCAGCAGCAAACTGCTCTCTTGAAAGTCCCCTTGTGGGCCAGCACCCACATGGCAGCTAACAACTATCTGTAACTCCAGTTTCAGGGGATCTGATGGCCTCTTCTGCCCTCCGAGGGCACTGAGTGACACAGATACACTTACCTACATGCAGGCAATACACACATACACATAAAATAAAAAAATAATACGTAAGACTTCCCTGGGCTGCACAGCCTCCAGGCGGACGTCCTGGTGCTAGCACCTTTCCTGGTCCCCAGGAGCCCTCTGGGTCTGGTCATGCCCTCACCTCCCTTTGCTTCCTGGGCTGCACGGCCTCCAGCATCCTGGTGCCAGCACCTTCTTTGGGGTTTATACTGAATTCAATATTTTATAACCATGTTAATTCAATTGTGAACCTAAAAATTTACAGCCACTTTTGAAAGAGATACATCCTTGCTCTGGAAATTGTTACTGAATATGTTAAAGTTGTAATGAAATGCTTCTTCTAAAAAAAATAAATAAATAAGTGAATAAAATATTTAAAAAAATAAAAAAATATGAATGGCTGCATGTCAAAAAAAAAAAAAGTAAAATATTAAAAAAAAAAAAAAAGGTTTTATTAAGCCAGGGGGGGTGGCTCATGCCTTTAATCCCAGCACTTGGGAGGCAGAGGCAGGCAGATCTCTGTGAGTTCAAGACCGGCCTGGTCTACATGAGTGCAGGTACCCTCAGAGGCCAGAAGATGTTGGATCCCCTGGAGCCAAAGTTATGGGTGGTTGTGAGCTGCTGAAGAGGTTGCTGGAAGCTGAACTTGGATCCTCTGGAAGAGCAACAAATGCTCTTAACTAGTGAGCCACCTGTCTAACCCTTGTGTGTGTGTGTGTGTGTGTGTGTGTGATACTGGGAATTGATCCAAGGGTCTTGTGCATGCTAGACAAGTACTCTCTTCCTCAGCTGTCTCTTCAGTCCTTTCTTGGTTGTTTGTATATGTTCTTTGGTGAAATGTCTGTTCTTCCCTTTGTCCATTTAAAAAAATATTTTGCTTATTATTTTAATTTTGTGTGTATATGTGAATTGCCTGCATGTATGTACAACACATGTTGTACAATGCCTACAGAGGACAGAAAAGGGCCTCAAATTCCCCTGGAACTGGAGTTATGGATGGTTGTTAGCTATCATGTGGGTGCTGGGACTAGAACCCAGGTCCTCTGCAAGAGCAACCACTGAGCCATCTCTCCAGCCCTCCTTCGTCCATGTTTTAATTGTGCTTGCTTTGTTGAGTTTTAGGAATTTTCTTTATGTTCCTATTTCTCTTCATGTTCTGTATTAAATTTTTTTTCAGCCAGGGCCAAGCTGGCCTCAGTGAACTCCCTATTTATCTAAGTCTGACCTTGAATTCTGATTGTTTTGCCTCCATCTCCTGAGTCTTAGGATTATAGGTGTGTACTATCATGGTCAGTTTTATGTCATGTTGGGGACTGACCTCAGGGCTTTGGGTGTGCTAGGCAAGAACCCGACCAACTGAGCTGCAGCCTCAGCCCTATGGAAAAGTATTTTTCCTATTCTATGGGTTGCCCTTTTGCTCTGCTTTTTTTCCCCTGGTACTGAGGATTTGAACCCCCTCCTCCCCACAGGGCCCTCTTGCATGCTAGGCAACTGTTCTAACACTGAGTCATAATCTCACCTCATTAATTTTTTTTAACTATTTTAAAAAATATTATTTTTATCTTATGTGTATGAGTGTATTGCTTGCATGTAGGTATAAAAATATTTTATTTTTATCTTGTGTGTATGAGTATATTGCCTGCATGTAGGTAAGTGCACCCATATAATGAAATGCCCCTGAAGGTCAGAATATTGGATTCCTCTGGAGCTGGAGTTACTGATGGTTGTTAGCTGCCATGTGGATGCTAGGAATCGAACTCCAGTCCCCTGAAAGAGCAGCGAGTACCTTTAACTGTTGAGCCATCTCTTCAGCCCCCATCCCATTGCATTTTTTAATTAAAATTTTTTATTTTATGTTAATGAATGTTTTGCCTGCATGTATGTAAATACACCATGTGCATTCAATGCCAATGGAGGCCAGAAGAGAGCATTGGATTCCCTGGAGGGGTGTTATGATTGTGAGCCAACATGTGGGTGCTGGGAATCCTCTGCAAGAGCAGCCAGTGTTCTTAACCACTGAGCCATTTCTCCAGCCCCCCCACCCCCATTGCTTTTTAAAATAAAAATTATTTTATTCATTTTGAGAAAGGATCTCAGGATGGGGATATAACTCAGTGGTAGAACTGTTTTTTCTTTGTTAAAGTGTGTGTGTGTGTGTGTGTGTGTGTGTGTGTGTGTGTGTGTGTGTGTGACCCTGGGATGTGAGTCCTCACCCTTTACCTGGAGATAGGGTCTCTTGTTTCCGTACTCCTTATGCCATTCTAGTTGGCTGAAAATTTTCCAAGGATTTTCCTGTTTCCTGGGATTATAGACTACTGCTTCTGACCTTACATGGGTTCTGGGGATTCAAACTCAAGTCATCATGCTTGTATGGCAAGTGCTTTACCCACTGAACCATCAGAGTACTTGTTTGTTTGTTCATTTGTTTGAGACAAGGTCTCCCTGTAGCCCCAGATGGCCTGGAACTCACTATGTAGATCAAACTGGCCTCAGTCTCACAGAGCTCCCCTTGCCTCTGCCTTCTGTGTGCTGGGATTAAAGGCATGTGCCACCACACCTGGCTCTAGAGTACTTTTTATGCACAAATTAAAAAAAATTTTGTCTTTTTAAATTTTTTTTGGTATTTTTGAGACAGGGTCTCCCTGTAGCCCCAGCTGGCCTTGAACTCACAGAGATCTACCTGCCTCTGCCTCCCAAGTGCTGGGATCAAAGGTGTGTGCCACCATGCCTGGCTATTTGTTTATTTTTTTTAAATTACATTTGTTAATTTATTATTTATATGTTTATTTATTTACTTATTTTTATGTGTGTATACCACAGCATACATGTGAAGGTCAAAGAGTGCCATATCCAAGAACTCATTGCCAAGTTGAGTGTCTGGAAGCGTTTGCCCTGTTTTCTTTTAAGAGTTTTTAAAAAAAAAATTATTATTTTTCTTTTATGTGTGTGAGTATATTGCCCCCATGTATGTAAGTGCACCCATGTTGTGCAATGCCCGCAGAGGTCAGAAGAGAGTGTCAGATTCCCCTGAAGCTAGAGTTGTGGACTGTTGTTAGCTGCCATGTGGGTGCTGAGAATTGAACCTGGGTCCTCTGCAAGAGCAGCCACTGCTCTTAACTGTTAAGCTGTCTCTTCAGCCCTCTTCTAAGAATATTGTAGCTTTATCTTTACAGTTACGTCTTTGATCATTTTGAGTTAAATTTTGTAGGTGGTGTTTGTAAAGGTCTAAGTTCATCTTTTTTGTGTGTATGTTCAGTTTCCTAGTACCATTGGAGCCCCTGTGTTGAAAATCATTTGACTGTATTCTGGGCTGTTAGCTTCATTAATGTTCATGTCTGTCTTTGTGGCAACACCAGACTCTTGTGATTATAGTAGTTTTTTATATATTTATTTATTTTTTGAGACAGGGTATCTCTGTAGCCCCAGCTGGCCTGGAACTCACTTTGTAGACCAGTGTGGCCTTGAACTCACAGAGATCCGCCTCCCGAGTGCTGGGATTACAGGCATGCGCCACCACACCCAGCTTGATTATAGTAGTTTTGTAGTAAGAACTGAAGTCACTTTTAATCTGGAATAGTCATTATGGTTTTCCTTCATATCATCGATTTGTCAAAGCATCAACTGTGTTATAGAGTGTCCCACATTTTAAATTATTGTTATTCCTTTAGAGTTTTTTTTTAGCTTAAACAAGTAAATGTATAATATATACATATTCTTTTTGTTTTATTTTGAGACAGGGTCATGTAGCCCAGGCTTGAATTGATTCTCCTGCCTCCACTTCCTAAATGCTGGGATTACAGGTGTATGCCACAACACCTGGCTATATGTATGTGTTCGTATTTCTTTCTTTCTTTCTTTTATTTTTTCCTTCCTTCCTTCCTTCCTTCCTTCCTTCCTTCCTTCCTTCCTTCCTTCCTTCCTTCCTTCCTTCCTTTCCTTCCTCCTTCCCTCCCTCCCTCCCTCCTTCCTTTTCTCCCTCTCTTTCTAGTTTTTAAGATTTATGTGTATAAGTGCTTGCCTGCATGCATCACATATATGCCTCCTGCCTGTGGGAACCAGAAGAGGGTGTTAAGAGTCTCTGGAACTAGAGTTATAGACAATTGTGAGTCCCATTTGGGTGCTGGGAACCAAACTCGGGTCCTTTGCAGGAGCAGCAAGTGCTGAACCATCTCCAGCCCATCCCCTTCTTTCTTGAATAGGTACTTTTATCTACTAATTTCTATCTACTTCTCTCACTCGTTGGTGGACTCTCTATATCCCCTCATAAGCCTTCCATCTCTGCCTGCCTATTTCTTATTTAGTGACTGCATGGTACTACATTGCATGGGTGATATGGAGATTCAAAACCAGTTCCCTCTTAATAAACATTTAGGTTATTTCAAATGGTTTGATTAACCTTATACAATTTTTTTTTTTTTTTGAGTTATAGCTTCAGAATAGATTTCCAAAACTGAGATTTCTGGATCAAAAGGCAAATGCAAATATAATTTTATCAGATACTGCCAAATTCTTCTCCAGTGTTTATATTAGTTTAGTCTTAGTAGTGTGTGTGTTGTTTTATACTTTTCTTAGACCTGTATCAGGTTACTTGTCAGAGGATCCTACCCCATAGTAATTATAAATGATATTTCTACTCAATGATTCTAAAATGTGATGTGGAAACAACTTGCAATTTTTTTTTTTTTTTTTTTTGGTCTTTTTGAGACAGGGTCTCCCTGTAGCTCCAGCTGTCCTGGAACTCACTCTGTAGACCAGGCTGGCCTCACAGAGGATCTGTCTGCCTCTGCCTCCCAAGTACTGGGATCAAAGGCGTGCGCCACCACGCCTGGCACAACTTGCAATTTTTAAGGACTTGGGGGATTTATTTATTTTTTTGGTCAGATATAAAACACTACTACAGGAGCTAGAGAGATGACTCAGCAATTAAGAGTACTGACTGCTTTTGCAGATGACCTGGGTTCAATCCCCAGCACCCACATGACAACTGACAACCGTTGGTAACTTCAGTTCCAGAAATCTGATTCCCTCTTCTGACCTCTGCAGGCATTGCATGACATGGGTGCACTTACATACATATGTTCAGGCAATATACTCATACACATAAAATGAAAATAATAAAAAAAATATTAAAAAACACTACTACAAAGCTGGGTGCAGTGGTGCACACCTATAGTCTCAGCCACGTGAGAGGCTGAGGTAGGAAGTTCACATGAGACCAACTTTTAGCTAAACTTGGGCAATATAGTAAGATTCAGCCTCAAAACCACTACTACGAATGTCTGTATTTTTTTGTCACTCACTTGAGTATATATATGATATATTTGATTTTTGAAACAGTAACAGTTACATTGGTATCTTCTCACAGTTTTCTCATCAGCTCTGTTGAGGTATCCATTTGATCGAATAGGGCATTTTGGTCAGTGTTCTGCTTTTCCAAAGTAATCTTCCAGTCAGATAATTTTGAGCTTTAGGTCCTTCTAACCACTAGACCTTGGTTTTCTTTTTTATGTTCTTCCCAGGCTCCAGCTTATATTCGGGAATGTGCCAGACTATACTATCTTGGCTCCAGAACTCAAGTATCAAAGGTAAGAATAGGAAACTGCTCTTCATTTGGACCCAAACAAAGAAAGAAGATTAGTGAAGTTTTTATGTCTGTGTTTTTTGAAACAAGATCTTACTATGTAGCCCCAACTGGCTTGGAACTCCCTATATAGATCAGGCTGGACTTGATCTCACAGGGATCTGCCTGCCTCTGCCTCTGGAGTGCTGGCACTAAAGCTGTACACCACCACACTTGGCAACAGGTTCCTCTTTATCTGATAATTGTGTCAAAATTTTCCTTGTTCCTGGGTATGGTAGTATGCCATGCTCCCAGCTCCCCCTTCTTTTGATTCACATTTTTGTGGTATCCCAACACAAAGCCAATAGGATATATTAATTTATTTTTACTTAAATTTTCTTTAGGATGACCTTGATCTGACAACCTCATGTCATGCCAAGTCCTTCCAGTTGGCGAGATCTCAGAAATGGAACAGGATAGATTCTTATTCTCAACAAGAAGAGACCCAGCAATGTACAGAAGAGGCACTGAAAGAGCTCTTCCAACATGTTCACAACATGCCAGAGTCAGCAAAGAAGAAACAACTTATAAGACAGGTGCTAGAGCACGGAAATAGTGATGGGGCTTTTGGACTGTGTCCTGGTTGTAGAATCACCAGAGAATCTTAATAGATTCTGTTAAGAATCACATTTAAGGGTCTGGAGAGATGGCTCAGAGGTTAAGAGCAGAGGACCTGGGTTTAGTTCCCAGCACCCACATGACCATTAACACTCATTCTTAACTCCAGTTCCACAGGATCAGATGTTCTCTTCTGGTTTCCTCAGGCACTAGGCACGCATGTAGTGCACTTACATACATACAGACAAAACACTCATACACATAAAATAAAAATAAAGGGGCTGGAGAGATGGCTTAATGGTTAAGAGCACTGACTGCTCTTGTAGTGGACCTGGATTTGATTCCCAGCACCCATATGGTGGCTAACAACTGTCCATAGCTCTAGTTCCAGGGGATCTGTCACCGTCTTCTGATCTCCATAGGCATTGCGTGACACAGGTGCACTTACATACATGCAGGCAATACACTCATACACTAAAAATAGGAAGAAAAAAAAAACTTTAAACAAAATTAAAACAAAAGAAGATTTTCTTAGAACCTCTGGAATTTTAGCTGAACGGACAAGGCCAGTGTATTAGTCAGCTTTCCTTTACTGTACAAACCCCTAAGGTAATCAGCTTGTAAAAGGAAGGGGTTTGCTTTGGCTCACAGTTGTACAAGTTTCTGCTCATGGTCGAGTGGCTCTGTGTTGAGGCCCAGTGTCATGGTAGTAGTATGTAAAAGGCAAAGCCTTGAACCTCATGGTCAGAAAGTGAAAAAGAAAGAAATAAGAGACCAGGGTACCACAGTCCCCTTGGAGGGCCACCTCCTCCATCCTTTAGTTAAGGCCTCCCAATAGACCTTTCATTGCCTTTGGAGGCCATTTCAGATCCAACTCTAGCAGGCAGCTTTTAATAATAGACCTTTCATTGCCTTTGGAGGCCATTTCAGATCCAACTCTAGCAGGCAGCTTTTAATTTCACTTCCTTTTTTCTTCTTTTTCACTTTTGATACCGTCTTTGGGAGAGACTGTGTTTTTGTTTTCTATCCAATTGTCAGTGTAGGGCAAGATATGAACAAAAATCAGAAAATGCTAGGAACTGAGCTACTTAAAAGAATTGACAGCGTCCTTTAAGGCTGTTTTGTTGTGGCTGGCGAGATGGCTCAGGTGCTTGCTGACAAGTCTGACACCTTAGTTTGATCTCTGGGACTCACATGGTGGAAGGAGAGAACTCACTCCCTCAAGCTGTTCCGACTGCTACATAAATGCGGTTGGATGTGCGTACCCACACATATACAAAAATTTTTTAAAATCTTTTAAAATTTATTATTTTATGAGTATTATACTTGCATGTGTATAGGTGCACCCATATCATGCATGCCTACAGAGGCCAGAGAGGACATCGGATCCCCTGGATCTGGATTTAAGGACGGTTGTTAGCCACCATGTGGGTGCTGGGATTCAAACCCTGGTCTTCTGCAAGGGCAGTCAGTGCTCTGAACCACTGAACCATCTCTCCAGCCCCTCTCTTGGGATTCTTTACCCTTTCTTTAAAGCTCCCCTCCCTACCATGTGTCTGATCGCCAAACCAGCTTAAAATGGCATGGCTTTTTTCATCCCTCTCCTCCATTTGCCTCTTCAGGGCAGCTGTTGAGATTTACCACTTGTCTGCCCTGAAGGTTTTTCTTTTAAACTAATAAAATTATCCCTAAGCTTCTGTTTGAGTCCATTCTTAAATTCTTTTTTGGGAGGGGGTCTTTTTGAGACAGGTTCTCCCTATAGCTGCTGGCCTGGAACTCACTATGTAGACCAGGCTGGCCTGGGACTCACAAAGATCCGTCTGCTTCTGTTGGGATTAAAGGCCTGCGCCACCATGCCTCACTCATTCTTAAATTCTTTTATTAATGAAACTAAAAACCTTCTAGGGGACCCTCTTTCTCCCAGTTTCACTTGGTGACTTTTATTCTAACATTTTCTCCCTTTTACAATA